GAAATAAGGCTTATCAGAGTCTTAAGTTCTTCATCTACAAGATATAAATTTCCTTATCCTACTATAATTTGATTCTGATTTCCTGCTCTTGAGAGACCTATTTTTCCAACTCTATTCAGCAATGGTCGTATTTCGATCCCGAAAGCAATCAAGAAGGATTTTGCTCGAAATGACATTATAGTAATTGCCAATAGATTGTTGATGCTTACAGCTTTGGCGTTAGCGTGGAAAATTAAATTCTAAAACTTGTATTCGACTTACCACGAACCCTTAGTACTAGTGTAGAGTGAAATGGATGTTTCATTAAGACCTTTTACACAACCTAGACTTTATCCTTAAAGCTATAAAACAGGCTCCCATAAGTCTTTAAAAGTCCTTAAATCTCCCATTCCTCTACTAATGGAGGAACTATTCTGCGTTATCGAAAAACCAGCTTCGTCGCGAATGCATTAATTGAAATAAGATTTATTAGAATCTCCACATATCTGTAAAAACATGAAAACGTCGTTATTCGTCTCGAAGAGATCTTGTTTTTTTTCTTTTTAGGGGCTGTATTGTTCTTCTGAATACTGTCTGATCACCCCTTTACAAGTATGATTGCCATAAACCATTCTTTTTGTTTCCTTGTTTTTTACTTTGTGGTTTCTACAGTTGAACGTAACTAAGAGAACCAATAGATGTTTTGTTCAATTCTCTTGAAAACAGCGGACGGTCACATTATTACCGAATACATTATCGATTTCACCCGATGATTAGTATTTCCCCATCTGGTGATGTTTTTCTCAACGTCAACATCAACTTACTTCTTGATTTCAACCACAAATAGTAACAATGTAGTCAGTCGTTATAGCGTCGAATGGACAGTCATTGTGAGCAGCAGATGCCCTTTCGTGTTTTTCCTATTTCTTCGTGAGATTCTGTCGAGCGCATAGTGCGGTTATAGTTGGTAAGTTTTGCTAAGTATCGGCGTCAATGTCCAGTTGTGTCATTTCGACACTTTCGATATTGTTATCAGTTTCAGAAAATCTATTTACTTATTTATGCAATCTGTTTTTCATATATGCTATGAATCATAGGACTGTTCATTTCTATTTCCACTTTATTTTTATTCATCTCATGCGCTTTTTGCTCTAGATGTTACCTTTCGTGGCTCGTGTAGCACAGTAGCTAGAGGTGCTTTCCAATACACGTGGGATCGATCCGGAGTCGCATGCTCACCAAGCTTTCCATGTCTGCGGGGTCGGCAAGTTGCTAGCAGATCTGTCTGGGAAGATAACAGCACTGACTTGATGCATTGGTAGGCCACCGCGAGTTAATGTTTAAGCCAGATATGCATTCATCACCCCTAACGATGCCTAATGATATCGAATGCATGGCGGGCGCATCCCTCAGCGACTGATTAACGCAGCTTTATGTTACCTTTCGTTTTCGTCAATCTCTTCCGTTTCTTTGTTCCGGACAGTCGTTACACGCCACTCACGTGAGCTGGCAAATATGCCAAGGTGAGAATGCCAGCTATGTGCCAGCATCCTCGAATGTAACGAAAATCCACGTTTATATTTAAGATTTCTTGTATTACCATTACCTTAACCAACTGGTGAAATTCAGATACTGAGTACATCTTTGATAACCGTGCAAAATATAGACATTGATTGTCGTCACGTGATGTACTAACGAACCGCTAGCAGTTGTCACTCATTTTAAACAACTATTGCCAATTGGCACCGATATAGTTAGAGCTAACGGATCACTATTAACATCCAACTGTGAGTTCTGTGGGAAATTGGCGTGTGCTGATAAAATAACGAGTTAAGATAGATTCATAAATTTGTTAGGATTTTTCTCATTTCTTGATGTTTTTTGTACCTTGGCGAACTCCTTCAATTCTATTTGATAATTGGAGTGAACATAGAATAAATGTTGCCGAGGAACGTTACTCATTGTTTGTATTTGATGAGCTGTATATTTGCAAATGAAAGCAGTGTGGAAACCCAGAGTGTTGACTCTAGGTCTCGTGAATGATCATCTATTAGCACATGAATTAGCACACGCTTTGAAATTCAAAAAACCTCAGTCAAAGCTCCTTGTTTCTACAAAAAATGACAATTTACAAATAGGAAGAGGTAGATCTCTCTTATAATGATAACTTCCACTGATTCTCTTAGTGTTCGACGTTTTCTGTTACCTTAAGCAGAATACGAAACTGACGGCATGAGTCTTATGTAAATCATACATAGTCGAATAAATGAATCGAATTTATTTCGAAACCGACCTTCCCTAAACCTCGGTGTGACAAATCAATATGTATTCTTTCTTGATAAGCTTACACGAGGTTGATAAATATATTTATTTTCGGCTAACGTTTCGACGTCTTCGTCTTCCTCAGAGCCGGTGATCCGAGTCGATGGTCCATGCTTGTTGTTCGCCTCGACGTTGCGTCTTCGCCTTCCTGTCGAGCCAGATCTTCCTCAGCGAGCCATCTTCTCGAATGAGGCATCCTCACTCAGTGATGCCCTTTTATACACGATGCTGATGGTGGATATATAATGACAATGTCCGGTGGTAACAACTTGTATTTCTTCCGGACATACATTATTGCGCACATCGTGCAGAGGTCGGTGTGTTATCAGCTAGCACAAAGCGTAGTAATATTTCGAAACCGACCTTCCCTAAACCTCGGTGTGACAAATCAATATGTATTCTTTCTTGATAAGCTTACACGAGGTTGATAAATATATT